TGGCGTTTCTTGAGCCTTCTTGGTCCCAACTGCTGCCCCCTGGATGTTCAGCCTTTGTGTCTCCGCAATCCTCTCTTCTTATATCTTCTCTCCAGCAGTCAACTCCATAAGTTTGCTCCTTAATACACCATCCATTTCCCCACCATAAACACAAAACCCTCAAGAGTCACAACATACGGAGAAAAGTCCTTAGGTTCCTCAGGCCACACAAATGGTCTCTCCATCTCTACCATCATCCTCTTAATACTCCTCGGCCTAAACCATTTCCTAGGTGTAGGGATTTTCTGCCCTGATTTCCCCTCCTTCAATTTCTGCGCTTGTATATAACTTCGTACTGCTCGAACTTCTATGCCATACGCATTCCATAGATAATCCCTCATATCCAATTTATTCAAATTGAGAGGCACAATGAAAGATGCGAAGGAGGGTGGGAGATTCGGTGTGCGGAGGAGTGTTATTGTAAAATTGGGACTGTTGTCGAGAAGGTTAGTGAGTTTTGCAGAATAGGTAGAACGATAGCAGTAGAAACACGCACAGAAATATTTCTTTGCGGCCCATCTTGGGGGCGCGAGCCACGGCTGCAAGTGGTGCTGCCATGATTCTTGTGGAATTTTGGATTTGAAGCCGCTGATAGAAATCACCAATATCAGATAAAATTAAGCGCGAAATTATCGGAGGCTATTTGGCGCGAGGTTAGACGCGGATAACGTTAGCCAAACCATTGGTCTTTCCTACCCAAGTACTTATTAATCATTGGTTCATTCGCACGTGCTCAATGAAACTCCCCTCCCCTCCCAAGTCTAAGGTCCACAATTAAGGTTACCGATCGGCAGTTTTTGCGTTCCAACAAGTTGCTTTGCATTTGTCGTCATTCATCATCATCTCATAGGTATGTATATATAAAATATAATTCACCAGTCATACACTCCTGACTGATCTTCACGAAACTCTTCATTCAGCAACGGGCATGGAGTTTTCATATAGTCCGTAGCTCGAAATATTCAGAGCGAGAGCGAAGTTCGCAATTCTTCACTCCGAAGACTTTCATCGGAATTACTGTTATTCACGGAGTTAACAATATCGTAGAACATATTTTTACCAGTCTCCAGCTGCATTTGATCAGCATTGGATAAGGATTGAATCAAGGGCCCCGTTAGATCCACAGCCAAGTGGAGAGGTAGAGGCATACTAAGTCTTATGTGACCTACGTAATTTTTTTGGTATAAGTATCGATTGTTGTCATTGTAATTTCCAAGTCAACATACTTGTTGATCTACTCGAGTATCTGAAACCTTCAACACTTCTTTTCAAGACACCTCTATCTAGGTATTAACTTTCATTATACCAAAAATGGCTTCAAACAAACCCGCACAATGTTGCACCCAAGGTATTAAGCACGAGTAGGTCTTTATTCTTCCAAAGAGCTTTACATGGGGTTTATGTATGCGGGTATGTAACTAACTGATGGCACTGTTATTTAGAGGTACACCAACGGGATCTTCAATCAAAATTACTGATACTATCGATGCATACATTGCTGAGCCTAAGGAAAAGGTCCACAAAGATACTGCCATTCTTTACTTTCCAGATGTTATTGGCATCTGTATGTACTTCCACTTCGTCTCCACCCAGAAATGAAGATAATGCCCAGTAACTAAGATCTCCGAACCAGGGAAAAACTCTCAATTGATGGCCGATCAATTCGCTGCCAATGGTTACTATACCGTCATCCCAGATATGTTCAACGGCGACCCAGTCTCTCTTAACCCTCCCGAAGGTTTTGACATCATGCAATGGATAAATAAGGGTTCGGATGGGAATAACCCACATACACCCCCATATATTGATCCTGTCATTGAGAAATCCATTGAATTTCTGAAGTCTAAGGGATATACTAAAATCGGAGCTGCGGGATACTGCTTTGGTGCTAAATATGTTATTAAATTTTTGGCTGAGGGCAAGGGTGTTGATGTTGGATATGTTGCTCATCCTTCGTGAGTTCTACCTTTCTACGCCCTCATGAGAAAACACTCAAAGCATAACTTCAATACCATAACTAACACGGCCAAGTTTCGTCGAGGAGCACGAACTCAGCGCCATAAAAGGGCCCCTTTCCATCGCAGCCGCCGAAACCGATGCAATTTTCCCACCTGAGAATCGCCACAAGACAGAAGTAATTCTCAAGGAAATGGGGGCTACATATCAAATGAGCCTATACGGTGGTACTTCGCATGGTTTCGCCGTTAGAGGTGATATAAGTAAGGCGGTTCTGAAGTTTGCTAAGGAACAGGCTTTTTTGCAGGCTGTTGCTTGGTTTGATGAACATTTGCTTTAGAAATAAGCTCGTGGATCGAAGAAGTGGTACGAGGGGGGAGGAAAGGAAGGGAAGGTGGGGGGGGGGGGGGGGGGGGGGGGGGGGT